TCTTAAAGCAACAAATATCATGGTTAAAAAAAACAGTTCTAGTAAGAGATGTGGTGTTTTTGATGTTATAGTCCACATAAAACCACATATAATTCTGAAGGTTTTTTTTACACACACAAATAGGTTATCAAAAAAATCTGTAAATACGACATTGCATTTTCAACTAGCATATTGGAGAAACATCTTTGTATTTATTTATATTTAAAAAGAGAAGTCTTACTTCTTTTTGTCAGATGTTTCAGACTCAGGTGGGATTCCCACGATAATGACAGTTCCTTTCTCCACATCCTTTGGAGCAGCCATGATAAGAGGAAGCAGTTTGCAACGCTTGTTCCTCGTCTACAAGAAAATAAAAGCATGAATGAAAGATTTAAAAAAAGAAAGAAAAAAGAAAGAGGATATTTTTGACAGTTTTAATTCAGTGTGATACTTACAGAATGGACAAAGGCCTTCAGGAGGTATTTGCAGAGCAGAGTCAAGGCCACGGGCTTAGAAAAGACCTTCACATCAGGTGTTCCCTACACACGAGACGGCAGAAGGAGAAAAGTAATGAGCGGAAACACTGTGTACTGTTAAGAAGAATCCACACACAGACTTGCACACACACTCATACCTCCATGAGGTAGCAGTAGAGGAAGGGTCCCTGAGACAAGATGAGGTTAGTACAGATGCAGCTGGCTACAGTTTGCTGGATCGCCATCAGCTTCTTCTTCGCCAGGTCAATGCCTGAATTCAGACGATCGAGGTTACTCCTACACAGAATAAAAGACACAAGCAGAAGGTCCACTTAAAATTATTATATTATACAGCTTTAAACCACTCATTCTGAGCATATCAACATCTTTGATCCTAGAGTTCTGTCATAAACTAACTTGAGGTTTGTACTACACACCTGGAAAGAGAGTCCAGAGCCTTGATGAAGTTGTCCCCATCACTCTCGTCTTTCTCAGTGCTCTCCAGCAAGGCAGCGGTAGAATGGACCATGTCACTGGCCAGGAAGCGATTCTTAAAGCCAAAGTGAACACCGAATGTCTGGATGCGGATGTCCTTCATACTGAAAGAGGGTGAAAAGGAAAAAAAAAATAAAAAAAAAATAATTGCATTTCGGTGTAGAAGCAAGTTAAGTTATTTTTGTTTAAGCTGTTTTAGGGATTCATACCCGTATTTATTTGACGACTCCTCAATAACGTCCCTGAGGTTCTCTTTGATTGACATGTCCATGGAGTTAAATTTCTGTTTTACTTGCTTTAGAGGCAGTCTGTTAATAAGAAAGGAAATGCAGCTTTACTTCACCCAGACTTGCATCCAAGTCCACTTAATACAAGTTGTACTCTTGCTGATAGATGCTGCACTAGTAACATTAAAATAATCATTTTTTTTTAGGTACTTTACCCCATGTCAGCTAGGAACTCCTGGAGTTTCTTTTGGCCATTTAATGTCCAAAGCTTGAAGTTGCATGATGTATAACATGAATTACAGATACTCTCATACAGGGACCAGTGCTGGTAGAGGGTTAGACGGAGGCTGAAGCGAAGAGTTAAGGAAAAGTCAAAGCAATAAAGAGTTTAAATGAGGGATTTTTTGTACAAGGGGAATTCTGTGATGTAAAGACCTGTTGTGATAACTTGTCAAATAATTTAGGATACTCGTATTCAAAGGAAATCCTCATGCAGTCGATGGAGAGGGAGTTCTCCTCATCCTCATTTCGGTGGTTGTGGCGGGAAACGTGACGCTGCATTGTGGCGATGTCTGTTATATACTTCATACTAAAAAGACAGCAGGCAGGCAAGAATACATAAGCAACATCAGGCCAACAACATAATGCAAAAACGCAGCAATTGCTGATCTTATATCACGCCGTTCTTACTGTGTGATTTTATCATGAACCGACTGGTCTGTCAGGCCAATGACCGCCCACCTGAAAAGAAAAAAGTCAGTCTATATCAAAAAGTCTGCACAGTGAATGTTTATATATTAAGAAAACAAGGGTATATCAGATGTATTACCAAAGCATGTCTTTGGTGTCTTTAGTCAACACCCATGCCAGCTCGAAAAACATCATGGCAGCCTGACAAAGAAAATAGAAAACATTTATACTCCTACTTTCAGGAACACTTATAACAAAATAAGTGAGGTGAAAGTCCTGAGTAAGTTTATAGATGTAAAGCATATATTTCATTTCATCAAAAAGAAAAAAACTCTTGAAAAAGAACAACTCACAGAGGTCCCATGATATTCATACTGCTCATAGTCAAACAAGATTTCCCTCCTGAAAATTGAGTGAAATGTTAGTGTCATAAAGAAACATGATGTCTTTAATCCAAACAACATTCTTACATCTACTTCAAAAACATGTTACCTTCGAGCCTCCCACTCCCTCTTCGCTCTCTGTCTTTCAATCCTCCTCTCCACTGCGCCCTGCAACAATATGACCACAAGCACAGACACACAATCACTAGTCCGGTCAACACAATCTTGATTCATTCCAGTTTTGAATTCGTATCCTGTTGAACACGTACTTCATCATATCTCCTGCGTTTCCCAGAAGGCTCTGTGCCTTCATCACTTTCATTTCCAGAGTCATCTCCCTCCTCTTCTTCATCTCTAAAGATATCATCATATGAGGGCACACCAAGGTCATCATCCTGTTTAATTAGCAGCTTTATCTGTAAATGAGATGACAAGAGTTGTAAGAAGAATCCTATAAGTGACAGATTGACAAAACTGTCACAGGTATGTGGTTAAACATTATGTATCCCTAACAAACTTCAAGAAACAGTTTTTTTTAAACACATGATGCAACAGGTTGAGAATTAAAACTGTAATATTCATTGTTAATAATGATTTAACTGAATTCATTATTCATCACCTGGGTGTCATTGTAGACATTAATAACATCTACAGGCCGTGAGTGTCACAGATGAAGAAGACGGCATCGTCATCTGGCTGAAGCATCTCGAGAAGGTCAACATTTGCCCCACAGTTGATGAGGACAAAGTACTTAAACTGAAGGACGCCAAAGAACCACATTTAGTTAACAGTAAACAATGGGTCCTCCCTTGTTTAGCCTCCAGTGTCTGATTTGATCTTACCTGCTCCTTGTGTTCAAGGAAGGCAGTACCGAGGTCCTGCCAGCCTTTAACTGGCACAAGTGTGTACTGGACCTGGTCACAGTGAAACAGAGCCTGGCAGAGACAAAAAAACATTCAGTGATTATAGGGGCGAACTGTGGCTCAGTTGGTAGAGTCTGGTTGACAGCTCGACCCCCAGCTGAGCAACATGTCAGATGTGTCCTCGGGCAAGACACTTAACCCCGCATTGCTCCCGCTGCTTCGGTGGCGGTGTATGAATGGATTAGTGTTGTACTTCCTCTCTGATGAACATCGCTTTGGATAAAAGTCTGCTAAGTGAATTGTAACATTGTATTGTCTAATTGACTTATTCCTCATTACATTATTCCTCACTGACAAAGTAGGGCACAGTAACACTGAATTTCTAGCCAGTGTGTAAATGAAAATGCAGAACCTGTATGTGAAAATATGTAAAGATTGTATTGAGTATTGACATTAACTTGATATTTGAACTATGAATCAAAAAAAAGTGTATACAACACTTATTGGGCAAAATCTCCCCGACGGAAGCAGCTGCCAATGAGGAAACAAACTAAAGTAGAGCCTATCAATAAAGTCCGACAACATGAGCTTAAAATAGAGCAGATTCAATATATTTAAATACAAACGTAAGTCACCTGATGGCAAAGACGCCGAGTTAACCAAAACTAGGTTCATAAAAGACAGATGTAAACTTGTAAACAGATAGCATATCATCTTACCTGCAGTATCTTACAGGCACAGAGGGCGTCGATGTCTGAGGCCACCAACAGAGCCACTCTCTGAAACCAAAGTGTATTGTTATAGTACAGTATTGTAGAGTCAATTTAGCTACAGCTAACTTACTATAATAACAGCAGGTAAGCGCTAGCATCGTTAGCAAACAGTGTGGTGTGACAGTTCAGCTCGAGAACTTACCTGGTTGGCGACAACTTCATAAAAGTCCTTCCTGATGTCCGTGATAAACATTCTTAAAACTATCGACTTAAAACGTTTAAAATTAAAAGCTACGGCACTAAAGTTGCATGAACGGCGGTGTTTTATTTTATTCAGCCTTTCTCCGCAGCAGCGCCGTCCGTCTGTGTTCCTTGTTGGAAATGTGGCGCCAAAATTGGTGACGTCACTCGCAGCCAATCACTGTGAGGGAATTAACGTACGTCATAGACCACGCCTACAATAAAAACAAATGCTGCTCTCACACAAAGAACCAAAACCAGGTGGCATGTTATATGTTATACCAGGGGTGGGCAATTGGCGGGCGGCCCCGGGGGGTTCACATGCGGCCCCCATCAACCCTCAATGTGGCCCTCAGGTCGATTTTTTTTACATATCATTTAATTGGAAACATGAAATCATGAAAACCAGAAATATGTCCATAATAATATTTGATCACTGGTATATGTTGAGATAAATTTGAGAGTCTTTGAATTGCCCCCCGGGGACAAATAAAGTTTTTTCTTTTATTTAATTCAATTGAATAATTGACTGTAATTGTTTTTGTATACTACAATTTGGCCCCCTGGCAGTGAGAATTAAATGAATGTGGCCCTTGCTGTGACACAAAGTTGTCCATCCCTGTGTTATACAGATACCTTCAGTAGGTCTGTTATATTTGGTACAGAGCATAGAGCAGAAAGAAATTGTGCTATAACATGTAGGTGACCTCAAGTTATTATAATTATTTGCTTTACCATTTAGATTAAAACAACAACGGTATTTCACTTAAAACAGCATTAAATCTAAGTAACAGTCTGCACATTTGTATTGCTGCGACTGCTTCATAATCCTACTTAAACATTTGTAGTTAATTTGTTTTGTAAGTTCATAGTCTTAACTAGCACCTGTTAACATAACACACACAAATAAATAATGACTGCTGACTCACAGAAGATAAGCAAAGGACAGCATATATTGTAATATGATGTAGAAACATCGTTAAGTGTCACAAAAGTCATTAAAAGCATCACAACATGTACAATCAGGAAACTGTATTAGCATGAACTGCTGCTATGTGCTCCTGCAAACCAAGGCAAATCATGATGACATCAATAAAGCAGACAGGCAAGTTTGTGTATAATCCCTTATCATGACAGTATATCTGAAGATCTGATGCAGTAACATGTACATCGTTTATGTGTAGGGGATTTGTGGGAAGTATTGAAGGAAATAATGTGCACTTTATGAGTGAAACATGCAGGATTTTCTTTAAAAAATGAAGCAAACTCTGATGAGGATTTCCTTTGTTGTTTTGCTAAAACCTGTGTGCCCTAAAAAATGTGAACTACTTTCAGGACATAAAATAATTACATTTAAGGTAAAGAAATAAGTTAAAAGTCAAGTAAACTCCTACGTGCCCCCAAATCATAAATACACTTAGAACTGTACACCATCACAACAACCTGGTTAAGATTGACAGGCGAGTTAAACATGATTCCACCTTAAAAACGTCACATTTTAGTCCACCAACCTATAGAGTATGAAGAGAACTTAAAGATGTTTGCAGAGGTTAAGAGAGGCTGCATGCCAAATGTTTCACATCACAAAGTATCTGACAAAGAGTAAACAACAAGGATTGCAAAGAACGAAAACAAAATTTGTTTCCACATGACAGTGAACATATACTGTAACGTGCAGTATATACTTCATTCATTATCTAACAGCAATAACGTAATGTAGTAAACAAAGGCACAAATTCTTCATTTTTTTTCTGCCAAGTTTGGTCTGAAAGCGCTGTGACCCAGTTATTTTAAGCTCAATGAGCAAAAAGTGCTTCTTTTGACCCTGCAAAACTTTGGCTGGTTTCACACTAAAACTGAAACATAAGTGGTCGTCTGTTTCCTCTCTTTCCAACCTGAAAAAACAGTCACATCTGGGTAAAACTTATCTTATTTTTCTCCAATGAAAAAGCATGAACGATAGACAAAACTGAAAAAAAAGAAAAATGTCCACAAACATAACATAATAATTAAATAACTTACAGAAGTGTTTATCGCCTTAAATGAAATAAACCAAAAAGAAAAACAGAGCGAGAGAATTAGCAGGATAGAAAACCTAACCAGCAAGAACACTGGGAGGCTAGCACCATCACCTGGAGAGGTTAACATAAAGCCTGGCCTCTGAACAGCAATTCAAACCAGACCTATAATAAGCCTGAGACCACTGAAACATGTATCTGATAGTTCTGTACAGTCATGTTAACTTGTGATCAGCAGTGTGCTGACCACTCACTGCTTCGTTGTGATGATCTTTTTTTTTTTTTTTTTTTTTTAGAGAGGACAAGCTGCTACATTACGGCATTTACACTGAGGACTGGGCACTCGATATGAACCCTTTCAAGATAGAAATCAATCTGTGAATGAAAATACTTCCATCAGAGACAGAAAGATTTTAAGTAATGAGCGAAGCCGCAAAGAGCAGCTCGTTGATGCTTAACGAGTGATTTCATTCACATATTTTACATGTTAATATGCACAATGAGAATACATAAATGTTTATGACAGAGCTCAAGTAAAATCCTGGGACCGTTATCCCCTAAGAAGATCTATCTAATGATGTCATGTACTTTGCCTTAATTTTGTTTTCTCATTATTGTCAATAATTCCATGAAAAGACCAAAACCAACAATGAACTCCTCCTACTTCATATGTACAGTATTGGACTTTGCCTTTGGTCTACGCTGACATGCATGTAAAGGTTTCGTCCACTTATTTGCAGCTCTTCATGTAATGAAAGAAAACATTTTGACATATTACATCTACTTTCAGGTGAAGACATAGAAAAGGTTTTTTTTAGAGTACAATTTAAAGTGGATTAAAAAGAAAAGTGTCACAGACGAGCTGGAGAAGTGGAGAAAACCTGTATAACTTAAGACTTTGTTGGTCTTGGCTTTTAATGGAATAAGGTATGACTGTCACAAAAAAAAACTCTTAATGATTCTGCTAGACTCAGCTTCAAGGTCCATGTGCTAAAAAGCTTTGAACCGTCTCTCAGTCTTCTTCATTGAGTGGCATCATGCAGTCATAAACATGAAAACATTCATAGGAGAGTGTGTTACCTCAAAGATGCCTCCCTTGTTCTTATTTACAACTGTAGACTTGAATGGTTCAGTGAAACAGCGATCAATCAGTCTCTAGTTGTGGGTCATGTGATCACACCTGAACCAGCTTCACTCTCTGAAGAACACTTTGAGATGCAGCTCAAACAGCCTCAATCATTAAAAAGTAGACCCTTTACATCCAGGCTGAAACTAATGATTATAATCTTATCTTAAGTCATCATTTCCTTCTATGTGAACTGATTCATTAATAAGTATGTTTGAGAAAAGGGAGAAAATAATATTACCTTTTTTCCTCTGTTCAAACTGCTTTTTTACCTAATGACAGACCAAAATCAAGTTATTTAAAATATTTGAGAAGCTCAAACCGTCAGATGTTACATAAAAAAAAACATCAAATCAATCTTCAAAGTGTTGTTGATCCCTTTATAGCCTACTGATTAGTCACACAAGTGTTTGGACACCAATTCAGGTCAGGAAGGAACAAACATCCAGGTCTGTATGTTTATCCTCAAGTATGAGGGAATGAGGGATTTTTTTACTTTAACAGAACCAATCAGAAAACAGTGATGCCTACATGAAAATAGTTTTACAGCAGCTGAGCCAGACGTTGATGGGCAGTAGACTTTCAGTGCAAAGAGTTAACCTACTTATCTGATGTTAGTATTTAAAGTGATCAATAGGCACAATACACAGGCTGTGCAGACAGGGCCGTATAGGTAAAATGTCCTGATAATTACCAACCCTCCAGTATTGATCAATTCTGTGAGTATTTATATAAGTTTAGGTTGAAAATCCCACACCAGGTTGTTAATGTAGTTGTTGTTCAACCTCTTTGGATTGTTAAACTGGAGTCGCTACAGTCAAGTGTTTCAGAAACTATTCAGAGGATTAAAGTGTCCTTTAAGTCACACAATCAAACCATGTGTCCCTTATCACCAAATAAAAGAATATCCAACAATACGATTAGAATGACTGAAAATAAAACAATAAATATTGACGAACTGTTCGGCCCCTAAAGACTTACAAACTCGAATAAGAAGGATTACCATGTAACCCAGTATTAACAACACCAGTCAAGATAATCCAGTTACAGATGTTCTACATCGGCAGGATGTAGTTGGAGTTGGCCAGCTTGCGCTCCTGTGCGGCGGGAACAGTGTCTCTGTGACGCAGAGGCCTGTGGCAGTCTGGGTCCTGAAGAGGAGGGTAGTGCTGTCTGTAACACAGCCAGGCGAAGGCCATGCCCAGCAGAGAACCCACCAACACATCTGCATAAAGAGTGAGAGAGAAAAACACACACACAGATGAGATGAGGGTTTTCAGTCTGCAGCTGCACATTTAGGCTTTCTTATATCTTCTCTTAATTACAATATTTTAGGGAAAAACGCCACCTTCACACCACATTTTAGGTTATGAGATTCGAAGGGAAAGCAAGTGGTTGTAATTCACTGGTTTGTGATGATGTACTTTATAGCCTCATTCAGACTGCTGTTTCAAGGCCCAATATTTACGTCCCTGTGACGTTTCGTATTCAATAGAAATGTTGCGGAGGTGTGATGGGGGGGGAGAATAAGTTATTCCACCTCTTTGGAGGTACAGTAGTCACACAGGCGTTACAGGGGAGTGATGGTGAGGGAGTTGCGCTGTGTGTGTGTGTGTGTGTGTGTGTGTGTGTAAGTCTTACTGTGTGTATGTGGAGCTGTGCTGTGCTCTCTTGTGCTTCTGCAATGCCGTAAGGCAATGTGAATTCACAGACTGTGACACTAATATTAAGCTGTTGACAGCACTCTTTCTGGCGCTGTTGTGGAATGGCAATATGAAAAGGGTTATTGATGTTGTACTCTATAGCTGCGTCTCAATTGGGGGACAACATCCTTCCAAGGACGCAGGCTACAAAGGATCCAACCTCCGTAGCCTGTGTAGACTTCTCAGGCTGAAACCGAACTAAGACAGAGAATTCGCTTCACCAGCTTCCCCCCGTCCGTGGTTTCTAAGCGTAGCCACTATCACCTCTCAACCTCAAAAGCTGCATTTGAACTAACTAAAGTAAATTACTCTGATCATCGGCGAACAATTCATCCACAAATGTAGATTTACGAAAGACTGTTCTTAATCTTCATAAATGAGCTAACACACTTCAAGGAAGGCCTAAACTTCAAAACATTGTAATACCAAAGACCACACATAAGGAAACGTTTTTTAAGGACGTTTTTTTGTCCTTTTTCTGCAAAGTTAAACTCACAGACTCATTGATAGATCATTGTCCATCTTCAATCAGCATTGAAAACACAAAGATCATCCGAGTTGCTGTTATAACAGCTCTCATGTAAACTGGCTGCTCAGCTGCTGACTGGCTAGAGCAAAATATCCCTCCTCATCATAAAGAAAAGGGGGGACACCATGTCAGATTGAATAATAACAATAATAATAATAAAGAAAATGGCAATTCAACCATATTAGTCATAAAAGTCATTTCCCCTCTAAACCATGTCTTGCTCTTTGTCACAATGCGATGCAAATGTTGTTTTGTGCCATTTGAGACATTTCTGTGATTCTGACCTTGCCAGTGGTGTTTATAGTCGCAGGTTCTGGAGAGGGCGATCACCGTTGCAATAAGTAAAGGGGTGAGGAAGGCACACAGCCGCCATGCTCTGCCTTGGCCTACTGCATTGAAGCAGCGCAGCTTTCCTGCGATGTACAGCGCTGTGAAGCCTAAACCTGCAAAGGCAACTAGAACCAGGAGAAAGGACAGAGAGGGTGATCAGAGCCAGAGGATTTTTACTTTACAGAAACAGAGACAACTCACAGGAAATGAAAACGGCAAAGAAAGAACGGGGTTAGAAGTCAGAGAAGTGCTCTTTTGCAGTATCAGCTAAATTGCTAACACAACAAAAGAGCCTGCAGGCTAAAATACACTTCAATACATCTACTTTCAGAAATATCTCGTGCCCTCCTGCCCCACTTAGTGCATTTGTTTCTCTTCCTTATGCCTGCTGGTGAAAACGTAGCAGTTACTGAGGCATAATTAACCATTAAAGGCTCTTACAGGAAGAGTGTCCACTCGGAAAGCTCTTTCTTCCCTCTATGACCACATCTGGGTCACCACTGCATCGTAACTCCAGGTTCATCTGACCGTCTGGGAAACAGCGATAAAAGAAGTCCGGCCGTGGCCTGAGGCAGCGACAAACACAGAGAGGACACACTTAGGCTTTTCTCTGCTGTAACACTGAGTTTCATAATCATCTGCCAGATTGTTGGGAAACATTTTTACCTGCCGACAACAAGTTTGATGACATTTGTAAAAACTCCGTTCAGCACCAGAGTAAGAGTCACAGCTGAAAAGAAACACAACATACAAGTCAACGTAGGTAACTGCACCGCATTAAGCGTTAAATATGAAACACTGAAAGTTTGTGCGCAGCTTTCTTCTTACCTAGCGAAGCCTCCTTCAGATCTCCTCTCTCCGTCTTCTTCATGAAGGTGAACACCAGGACTACAATCAGTGGGGTGAAAACCGCCACACTCTGATGCAAGCAAAAAAAGACGACAGGTATAACAATTTAATCCGCTTAATGTCTAATTATCGTTTGACTTTCAGCAGGAACATACATTTTAACTAAAACTACAAAGGATACTTCAAATATGCCACATTTTAATGTAATGAAAGCTCCTGGCAGCCTGTTGCCCCACAGTCCCAGAAGTTAATTTAGGATGTTTGGGTTGAGTCAAATGTCAGCTCATTGCGCTCACCACTGCACATACAGGGCAACTTTAATTTGTGTCAGGGATGACTAAATGACCTGTGCATTAACTGTTTCATTTTAAGACGACATCCAAAACCATGACTTACAAACATGAGAGAGGTTGGGACGTGGTCTCGCTCCACACGATGGAATTTATACAACCACATCTCCTCAGGCTGGATCTCACGGAAGAAAGGAGTAAGCTGTTCTGTCACACTACACAGAGAGAGAGAGAGAGAGAGAGAGAGAGAGAGAAGTTTCTGTTTCTTTGCTCATCATTAAAAAATGATTTGCCTTACAAATTGTGGATCAATAAAACAACAATGCAAATGAGCCAAACTCACAGGAACACAACCAGCAGAGCCATCCTGACGGAAACCTCCGACAGGAAACCACGAAGCAGCCTCCTCTTCATTTTCTTTTCTTTTTTTTTTGGAAGGGGACTTCAGTCAACAGCAAACATCATCACTCCATTTTATATCACTTAACCGGGCCTGGAAAGAGAGATTAAAAACTAAACTTTAAAATTGTGATATGATTTCCGGTGTTTGGAGAGAAAATAGACTTCTGCGTATTTATGCTGAGGCTGAGTTTTCACTAGGTAGAGAAAAAACAATCACCCTGATAATATCCTTTTTTTAATTCATTTGTGAACATACCAAAAATCAGCTTTCGATAATCCTGAGAAACTGGATCAACTGTTCCTGCTTTGCCTCTACAGTTTTTATATTTCAAAAATCCTTCACACCAATACAGGTGTCAACATAGATTCTACCTGACAGACATCTTTTTTTTCACAAAACCTGTCCCGCTGCAACTTCCTGCTGATCAGGTTTATTTCTTTGTTTAGGATGTTAATGTAGTTCAGATACCTGCAAGGACTGACTGATACCGGATTGGTTTAGAAAATAATACCAGTTTTTGCATTGGTGAGATTTTATAAAATCCACTGGGGGGAGGGGGGGGCAACCAGACTTTTATTTGAGACAATCCCTGAACACTGTCATCTGGAGTTACAAATCACTTCAGAGACTTTGTGATGTCTGGGCTTCATTAGTATATCCCTTACTTACCCTGTCTGCCAAATGTTATCTGCTGCTAAGATACTCTTTTGATTGTTGCTTATATGGATGTTATATTGGATGGACTGGTAGTAAATGGTCTTTAAATGTAATCTATTTTACAATTTTTTTTTTCAGTGAGCTATACAGTCCCACATCAACATCTCAGACTGACCCCCTGTACTTTTTACATGAAGGAAAATGTAACAACAACAAAAGTGAAGATAAGGTTATGTATCACACTGTGCTCTTAAAGTAAGATCTGGCACAAATACTTCTCAGGTGATATCTTTTTCCTCAGCCCTGTCTAGAAACTTGATGTGAAGGCCAACATGCTGCACCTGCACCTTCCACTTACACCTGGATGTTATTCAGCTGGATACAACATGAAACACGTTTCTATACAGACACTAAAACATGCAGGCTCGTCTGCCTCAGTTCAAACACAGAGCAGGACAAACAAGTTCACATTAACAGTCTGAGTTGCAGAAACAAGCTGCACACACACAGACACACACACACACACACACAGACAATGCTAAGCTAGGTAGCAACATCTGTCCAAAAAGACATCAGGGCCATTTCCGCGATTACAAAAAAAAATGTGTTTACCAAGCCGACACTAACTTTAAACAGGTGATGCTCCTTGTTTGTTTTTGTTTTTATCTCGTTATCCCCGAGTTTTCATGTCCCGTTAAGATGAACCAGGCCTCGGCATCCTCTGTCACCGGCGGTGGTCGTTCATTTGTGGGGCTGACAGGAGCAGGGATGCCGCGGAGGCGATGAGCCGCGTGAAGCTGAAGGCTAAAAACACCGGATACTTCCGGTTTATGATTTTCAAATTAAGAGTCCCGTCCTTACTTCCCCAGATGAGATGCAACTTATTTTTAAACGTAAATATTTACAGACAGTTGACCACCTCACAGTGCAATACAAGTGTTGCAATATTAACCTTAAAAACAACAACAACAACAAAAAAACAGTGCAATTATATAATGTGAAAAAATATGTGTGCAATAACCTCAGGCGCAATAAGAGATAATAAGTGCAATGAGAATTTTTTTTTTGTATTATATCTTTGCTTTAATACAGTGTATACCTTCTGCACAGTTTATTTTAAATCACTTCGCTGTTACTACAACTTATTTATTTTTACTTTTATTTTACTTTTTTTCTTACAATGCTATTCTATTTTATATTTAATTTAAACTTTTTTTTTTGTAGAAGCTGACTCAGGGAGAAACGCACAATAATTCCAATGTACCTGTCCTGTCCTGTACCTGTGCAAATGGCAATAAACATCTATTCTATTCTAGTGCTCTATAAACCGGATACAGAGCCGGGATGATTTTATCTACCTTGACATCTGGATGCAAGAAGCCACGTCACGTTAAAGGTTGCCATCTAAAGGTTAAAACGGTGAAGTTTGAACGACGTTGCATCGTCCTGTAATCTTGAATCTGCTGCTATTTGTAGTTTTGCTGATCTTGAATAGTTATAGTAGCATACTATGTTTCTTTATTTTTTGTGGCTTTAAAAACACAACAACTTAAAAAATAAAATATACACTAATCTGACTCTGTTTTCATCAAACTGTAAAAAATAATCCAATACTCAGAGAGCCTTTCACTGAGACAGAGCTTTATTAAAGTCAAACTTCAGGCATGTCTGAACTCTTCAAACTCAACTTTAGAATGAAAAAAGGACAGAATCAATATTCTCAAATAAAAAGACAGTCATGTACAAAAAGAGTGTTGTCTCAACAGTCACACACATTTAGAAGCAGAAATGTACAGGCAAAAAGAGCACGCCACAGTAACATGATCCTATGCAAGTTCAATGCAAACTATTTACAGGTTCTTCAACAATATGCAGTAACACAGGTTAAACAGTAATCAACATGGTATTTTGTGTTCATCCACTTTTTCATAGAAGCAACACCAAGAGAGATAGATATGACCCCAGTTAGTTACTGTAAGTAAGTTTACTACGAGTAAAAAAGAGATGATGAGTGCTCACAGAGGTGAATTTCATTATTTATTTCAACACTATTTCTCCTTTGACAGCATGTCAACTTGAAAACGTAACGACAGTCGGCAACATTGCACAAAAACCAAAAGACGTCACAGTGAAAAATGAAACATACTCTTGTACAAACAAAGGGAGGTCGTGGTCCATCCTAAATTTTAAGTGTGTACAAAAAATATGAATAATCAGCAAATTCCTGTACACTTAGAAAAAAAACCCTTCTCAACGGATTGATGGTCACTCAAATGAGAACAAACATGCTGTCTCTAAAAGAAAACAAATGTGGGAACTATCGTGACAAACTAACAAACACATCAGATTTTTTTAAGTGAAGGAAATGATGCAAGCTGGGACAGTCAAACTATGTAATACTGCTGCTGACAAGGGCAGAAGAGGACAGACTGGCACAAGGTGATGCATGATCATGCGATCTGCAGGTGCAAACCAAGAAAATAAAGGCTGTTATACACAATCTCTATGCAACATGGTAAACAAAAAGTAAAAGGAACACAAATAAAAACAAACATCGGCATTAAATCAGGCTGTTTAAGACTCTCCAACAAAATCAGTGTCTGATGTTGGAAGCATGCATTTCAGCCACCTCAAAGTGAAAGAAAAATACTTTCAGAAGAGTCGTTAAGTTAAAAAAAAAATCAGTCTGAATTTCTTTTTCACAAAAGAACAAAAGTCAAGGAGTCCTGAAGTTTGACTCTTTGAGTTTGTAAAGGACAAATAAGTAAAAGTGCCGAAATGATGCACCTACCCTGATACTGAACAAGTACGAAAGTGTCCCAAGCCCATGACTGACTACTGAGGGGGGGAGCATCTCTGAATACAAACAGTTTGGCAAATGTAGGAGGTCAAAGGTCAGAATCCATGACATAATAATGAGTAATGTAGAAAAGTGAGAACATTTGATAAAAATGAAAGCATTGCATCCTGTTTCTGTGCATTGTTTGTAAAATCAACACACCCCTCAAGTCCAAATCAAATTCTACTTTCCCAAAATGTTCGACCTTCACTGTGCAAAAGGATGTGTGTGCCGACAATTAGAGTACAAGTTCAAATAAAATGAGTGAACCATATCCCTAAAAAGAGAAGTTTCTCTGTGCTCACCTTAAATCAGAGTCATCTACACAAATGTGATATTAAAAGTCAAAAAAAACTAGAATGGAGTGTTGAGGGAAGCAGAAGATATCTTGTGTCCAGAAATGTATAATATCCAACTTTTCTTAGATTTGTTTAGAACTTTTCAGAGGAGTAAATAACCATTCCAGCTCAAGATGTCCTCCTAATGAAAGCTGGAATCTGTCACTTTTCCAGGATTCACTGGCTCCCCTTCTGTTTGCATTTCTTTATAGTCTTTTATTCCATACTATTTACCCTAAAGCTGCCAGTTTAGAGACGCCTTCAATTAAAAGTAATGCTGGTAAATACGACAGTCCTCCCAACAATTCCACAGTCACATAGGTAATACGTTTCATTTTTTACATGAACAGTTTAAAAGAGGGGATTTGAAGGTTCAGGCTCGACTGTCCCGATGTGTTACAGTGAAGTGTTGTGTTATTAACCCTCCTTCAGTGATATAAAGAAGGTAAACAATTTAAAAACACCACAACCTACATCCACTAAAAAAAAGCCTGGGTCTGGTAACATCAACACCAATTAAAATGAAGTCTGGATTTTGTAGGAGTCTAGAAGGTTTCCAACAGGACTGTTGTGTTAGACTACATCCGTTTCAGCCAGGTGGACAAAATACATTAGCAGCTTCATGTAAAAGTCAATGCACTTAAAAAAAAAAAAAACCTTGCACATATAAAGACTTGTTTGGAAATATTGGCACTGTTTCAGTCTGGGGCTTGACTTTTAACACATCACTATGGTAGCTTTTAAAAAAAAAAAAAAAAACAGGGGCAGAAACCACTAAAGGAGAAATATTAATGTGACTGAGCAAAAGGCTGTGGCATGACTAACAGATAACCGTCCTCCTGTTATGTTCACTTGAGTGCAGGGTATAAAAAAAAAAGTAGAAGAAACTGAATCTTGACATTCCTATATTTAACTGCTTCACACCGCTTTTAACACCGATTACTGTGAGTCACGATACAGGGCGAAGAGCAGCGGCTGTCACCAAATGTGGAATCATTACACCAAATGTATAGAAACAAAACGTATGCAATGACTAAATACAGATATATATATATATAGCCTAATGTAATACTCCCCATGTTTTTAATAGTCTATTTCACTTACACCGTGGTGGAGGGGAAGAAAAATGACTGCACTGGTGTTTGAGAAAGTAACAGGTATAAAATGTGGTGCTATAAATAGAAAAAATTCAGATTTGACAGATGAGAGATTTAAAAACACTGTACAGAAGTTTGAATATTATACATTATACTGAACAGGACTGTTGTTACACCATTACGTCTTTATATAAAAGCCCAGCCTTTAGCATGTTCTTCAGGTGGGAAATGAAGAAGCCCCTTTCCAGGAGTCTTTGTTTGAAGCCAGGCTGGCAGTCTATCCATCTTGTGCCCAAAAACATAAAATAAGAAAAATAAAAACACCCCAGCATTTTAGGCCACTTCCTCAGAAAAAAAACCCCCCAAAAAAAACATCCAACCACGCCCAGCAACGTTTCTGACCTTGAGGAAAAAAAGTTACAACACAGTTTAAATCCCGACGTTACTACGAGAAGAGGTATCCATTTGAAACACTTGTCTTATGTTCTTTTACTATACATTTTTGTAAATGTATGACCTAGCTAAGTTGTGTAGCGACAAGCTGTGTAAAAGTGCTTTTTCAGAAAAGTTTGGCAATCAAAAAAAAAAAAAAAAAAAATATGGAGTTAAAAAAAAAAATCACAAAATCAAAAACAAGCCTGAAAGCGGTCACAGTACAGGAAGTAACTGAAAACAGACTGCATGGGTGCAGCATCTCCTACAGACAGAACTGAACAGAAGGCTGATAAACAATACTTAAAGACAGCACCAGTGATTACAAGCTGAGCTCCTCGTCTACCATACAAACAACAGAAACTGCTCAGAGGAAATCAAAACGACGGAGAGATTCAAATAAAAAAAGGATCAGTTTCTGGTTTAAAAAAGTGTTTTTTCCTTCTTCGTCCCTCCTGATCTTTAAGTACTTTACAATATCATGAGCCAATTATGTACACAATGGCGAGTGAGACTGGCAATATGAAAGTCACAAGTACTTCTGTAATGTCATACCATTACACTATATACCATTATATTTCACCTTAATAGGACTATTTTCACAAGGAGGTCTGTGTAATGTTTAAACACCTAAACAAACAAACATAATACACCACTCACCAAGATGAAGTGAGAGAATCTGTCTGTAAACATTAACAAACATAGATACTGTATATAATTATATTCATCTATACCCATAAGTATGTGAAACCATGTCTAAGGAAGATTGGAATGTAGTGTGGTCCTGAAAAAAATTGCACTAAACCGGTCATTTCCTCCAGCTTCCTTTTGTCAAAGAAGAAGAGATGAATACAATGACAGACCACGTCAGGAGTGAAGATCTGCTGTGGAGGAGGAATAATAGTTGAATCCTCTCCATACAGCCATCGTGTGTGTGTGTGTGTGTGTGTGTGTGTGTGTGTGTGTGTGTGTGTGTGTGTGTGTGTGTGTGTGTGTGTGTGAGATGCCGATCACAGCATACAGCAGGTAAACACGCAGAGGAGCAGCGCGGTGGTGTAGAGGTTCAGAATCTCCCCTGCCTCCTCTTCTCTCCACTCTCACTCGTTGAGTTCTTCAAAAGTGCCAGTTAATGACAATGTGACAACACTTAAAATTTCCACCGCTGTAAAAAATACAAAAAGGAAACATGATGGCGTGGGTGTCTGGGCTTTAGAGAGCTGTAGAGACCATTAGTGGTGTTTTATGGTAAGAAGAGGAGGGAGGATGGCGCACACTGAAGCCTGGACACTTTTTTTTTTTCTCCTGCAGACACTCCATCGCTCTGCCCGCACCACAAACAGCACTGAGGTGTTCATTGTCTCCTCTCTGAACTGGGCCATCACATCGGTAAAAAGCACTGTCTTCCCTTTTTTTAAGTGAACTGCTTCAGATCAGAGGTGGATTGGTGGCGAGGAGACCAATAGACGTACACTTTACAGGGAATGAGGTATTGAGGGAGCTGCCGCGTCACTCTGTGTCCGGCATCACTTGCTCGGGCTCCTCTTTCACCCTGACGGGGCTCAGAGCGGAGCGGCGCCGCTGGGTCGAGCCGGGCTCAGGGCCGCACTCAGAGCCCAGGGGATCGGCAGGGTTGTGACTGGAGCAGCAGGGGCGTCCTTCAAGGGAGGAGGAGGTGAGGGCCCCCGTCTCGTGATCCTGGCAGAACGAGCGAGGGCAGAAGTCACAGAGGGACGAGGCCGGGGAGCCGCAAACGCTGCAGTCATGCCAAGGACACTCCCAACGTCCTGCAGACAGACACGCAGGGCGGAGAGAGGAAGACAAGTGAATTCAGTCACCAAGATTATGGACATAAATCTCAGGTTTTTACGGGAGAAAGGAGAGCAAAAACAAAGTTTTGATATATATATGTATGTGTTTTCAGACTTGCTATAAACTGTGATTCTTTGTTGTTCCCAATTCTCACTGCCTCAAAAATGAAACAACAAGAAAAATAAAATAAACATAGGCTTGGTCTGTACTGTTTCACATCAACCACAAACAAGTCGTCATGAGCCTAAATTTGGTTTGAAGGTGTCACCACCAGAAATCATACCAATATTGTTTTAACTCACAGTAGTTTCATTTTAAAATATGTATCTTTAAACTTTAATGTGATGCCAAAAACACCCTCTTTCAAACTTTTGAGAGCTTCAGTTCAGCCAAAAATATAGAAGACACATTTTCTCACAAACCTGTAGTGATATAAGATCATGAATGTCATTTTCCCTTTATTAATCCTGACAGGAAAATTAAAACCTCAACGCCATTTATGTCACCAGATCAATAAAATAACAGACTTAAATTTCATTTATAAGATTAATGAATGGCCGTGCTCAACTGCTTTTTGTCTGGTGCATCACTGGACACAACGACCTTTTCAGGCTGCTAAAATTCTATAATAACCTTTTTAATTTTTTTATTTACTTTGCCATGATGTTTTTGACGTCTGTGTGAAGCTCTTTGATTTGCCCTGTTGCTGAAATGTGCAATAAAATAAACTTGACTTGCCTAAGATGATTCTGATTAAACAAGAAAAAAAAAAAAGAGTCCTTACAATAACATTACATTTGAAACCAGAGACTTAACAACCAACCAGGAAAGGCAATTGTTAATGGTTTAAGAAATGGCTTGTCGTTGAAATAGCAGCACATTGTTTGCTTCAACGAATGCCAACACGTTATTTTGTCCCCACCAATAATTCAGATAGATTGGAATCGCACACTCGAGCTCCTCTTGTCATTACCATATGGCGGCTTGGTGAGGTTGAGACACAGCAGGTGATACGCTTTAGGACAGTCCTTCCTGTCACACATCACCAGCTCCCCTCCCTCTCCACACCAAAAACAGAAGTACTCATGTGTGTGTTTGCCCTCCAGTCGCAGCTTCCGCTTCTTCGGCTTCAGCTTGGCATTCCTCGCCTTCTCCTCTTTCTCCATCACCACAGCGCTCTGAAGGAAAAGGGACAAAAACGGGTTCCGAAGTGAAACATAGTTCAGAACCAGATTCATGTTGAGGAAAAGTGAAAACAAAAACAAACAAAAAATATCCTCACCGTTGGCTGCACCCCGAGGAACCCCGAGCAGTTGTCTGAGCCACAGTTGCAGGACGCTCTCCTGTTTCCCACACAGTGCAGGTTGTAGTTGAATGTCAGCTCTGTGTCTGCAGGATATCAGGGTACAAGACGAGGATCAAACTTACCATCAAGCTTTCTCTGAGCGCATGTATATTAGGCAATGTAACAATAAGCGTGTGCGTCTTCTTTCCGTGGTGACTTACCGGCCTCGATATCACAGAGGGCGAAGAGTCCGATGCGAACATCTCCGTTCACCGTCCATTTCTGCGTTTCACAGTTTGGGCTGCAGCTGTGGTTCATAAACCGAGAAGAGTTTCCTTTTGGGCCGGCGTCGATCACACGATCCTACGAGGGAAAAAAAACAAAAAAAAACAGAAAAGAGACAACATGGTTTAAGAAATGCTCTGTGGATGAATCTCCTCTGATCACATGTTGTTTGCTTTCTCTGATGTCACCTTGGTGAGGGTGAGCATGTAGAAGTTGGTCAAGTGATTTTCATGGGCACGTTTGATTCGCTGCTGGCACTCCTCCGAGTCGATCACCTCTCCCACGTACTCTGTCACAAAGTCACCCTGGAGGAAACGATAAACATCAAACAATGGAACAAAGTTTTAGGCATCATACAGACAACATTACATAAGCTGTTTTCACAAACGCACTCCTGAAAATATTAAGATCATTTCAGGAGGACTGCTCCGGATTATTCTCCTGACCTAGTTCACATATGCACCTCACAGCGGGAGACTGTCCCATTCAGACGGGAAGGGGTGGTCTCTTGAGGTAAGATGTGTTTAGTTCACTTTTAAAATTGAAGTGAATCCAAAAGAGCAAAAGGTAACACAGAATGGGTTGAAGGTTTGACCTGAACGTACTTTCCTGAGAGCCTGGTTGGTCCTGAGGCCCCAGCCCCGGCCGTCTGTCTTTACCACCTCCGTCTCTGCATACAGCCGCTTGGAGAAACACTGGTTCTCACAGTTGTCTCCTGCAGGACACACCTGACAAAAACAAATAAACAATGGTTAGAAGTTAACACTCTCTTAACAATAGAGATTGATTTTGGAGCTTTTTGTGCCTTAAATGGAGAGATAGAACAGAGGATAGAGTCGGAAATCAGGGAGAGAGAGAGAGTAGAGAATGACATGCGGGAAAGGAGCCACAGGTGGGATCCAACAGTTTCATTACAAACAAGAAACAATAACTAAAATAGGCCTACAGACCTGTGGATGACACTCATACTGCAGCATGCGGTTCAAACATTGGGAGTGGAGACTGCAAGGATGATCATCTGTGGGTCTGCAGTTGCATCGTGAGATTTCTGACAAGTCGGCTATGTGCACTTGGACTTTGCCCACTGGTTTATTAGACTGATACAGAAAAAAAGAAAACAGCCATACGTTAAAACACTGAAGACTTGTCAAGACTACTTAAACGCAGCATTTCATGAGTTTGCTTTTAAAGCGAGAGAATAAAATGATTAAATTACCTTTATGAATTTGTAGGGTGGAGGTTTTCGAGAGTTGCGCTCCTGCTCTAAAGCCTCCCTACTCTCCCTCTGCGCCTTGAGCTCCTGAAACCGCCGTGCTGCTTCTTCCAGAGCTGGAAACAACCAAACAATATCTCAGTCGTTCATCCTCCCAACAGATTTGGCCTTAAAATTAGGAGGACTTTTTTCTTTTTTTAAAGGGAGAAATTACCTTTCTTGAAGGTTTTGTTGATGTTGATCTGACCCGTGACAAAGTTTTTATCGTTCTCCACGTAGGGGAAGACGCGGCCCTGGTTGATCCAGTAGTAGTCGTGGGAGCCGAAGAAAAAGACGGGGAAGTCACCAACGTCATGGCGAAGGCTCTGGATGTTTGACGGCACCAAGCGAGGGTTGCAGATTTCAGCCGGCCACCACCTGCAAGGAAAAGGACCAGGGACAATGAAGGAGAGATTATAAAAGGTAGAAGAAGAGTTTAATAATAATCATGAAACATCTGATCAAAAGCTTCTATAGTCTTCAGGAGTGGCACACCACAGCTTCTATGACGTCACTGTTCTTTGCATTCATTCTTTTATGTGAATGAGAGTTTTTGAGAATTTTGAATAATCAAGAAAAAAAAGTTGATGTTTCTTGAACTCCGATCAACAAGATGTACATGTTTGGCCCATTAGAATATATTTTGTAATGAATCTGGGTCTCATGAGCAGTTTTTGGATCTAGTTCTAAGCAGGTTGACTATAAACTGCAGCATTTATATTAAAACACATCGGTCACGTCAGTCTGAAGAAGGAAAACACAGCTGCTGTGCTATACATTTCCTGAATACCTACATCTATAAGATCACAAATAAAAACTGAACTAAAAAAAAAAAAAAAGATAATAATAAAGTCTTTTAGGGCAAATAATCCTTTGACAACTTAAAACAATATGTTAGTCAGTAACACACTGTTCCAACTGAGAAGTAAATATTCAAAATGATGTTAACTTTAGTAAAGTAAAGAGTCAATATTTCAGGGACTTTTTTTCAGTTGTGTACTTTTGTAATATTAACGCTCTTGTGTATTTCCAGCAGCAGGACGGTTTAGGTCTGATCTAATAACTATGTTCATTGTGTAGTCTGTAGTTTTCTTATAATCATAAATGTTTATTTAACACAAACAACGACATTTCAAGTGGAACAGAACAATTTACTCTGACAGTTACAAAAACCCTCAGCGGTGCATCATCAGTGCCCATTGCGTACCTGTAGTTGCCCAGTTTGACCCAGACAATCTGTTTGTAGTGAGGCTTCTTCCCTGCCCTGCAATCACTGCAGGACCACGCCCCCTCCGGCATCTCAATCTCCAGACACTCCGGGTGGAAGGACGCCGGGCATGAGTCGCAGCACAGCAACTTGCCTCCTACAATTGTATGGATGTACACATGTTTGTGTGTGTGTGTGAGTGTGTATGTGTGTGTGTGTGTGTGTGTGTGTGTGTATGCATGCGTTGAAGGACATTGGTATGCAAAGAGAGGAGGAGTGTATAATTAGGTGATGCACCTTTATACCTGGACAAACTCTGAATCTCATTCGCAGACAAGCCTAAAAAAAAATATATAGAAATACTAGGGAGCCTACACACAGCACACAGCATCAAGACATGGTATTTCAGCCCCTTGTATGATGTCAATATAGTGTCCTTGTTAAGAAAAAGATAACAATAATATCTTGGAATTATCTTGAATACTAAGGGGAGGAGCTATTATTTGTGTAAAGGCTACTGTGATACTCCATTAGCAAGACTAAAACCGGGTTGTAAAGCCCGACATTGGATTCTCACGTCTTAGTTACAAGTCTTATTGCAGTAGCAGCATGTCTGACAATCAGATTCAGAGTCCTGTACCCAGACCAGCCTGAGGGAAATACATGCGGCAGCACAGGAATGAAACCAGCCAGGGGGTTAACAATGAATGTGGGTTATATAAAAAAAAAAAAAAAAAAAATTATTATTGGCAAAAAGCAGGCATGCAGTCCTGCCAGTAAAGCAAACTATTCCCATCACACATCCTGCACAGACCAGCTTGCATGGAATCAGAATTTTAGATGATTGCAATCAGCACTTGTTTTGTCTTTAATGATAAAAAAAACATTTTTTAAAGAGGTCAAATTCCCCCATTGTTGCCCTGAAACTTTAATGTACACAAATCTAGTTCTGATTTGGGAAATATTCCATCCAAGACAGGTCAGAGCCAAAAAAAAATATAATAATTTCATTTGAAAATTTCAGTCAAAAATTAAACAAAAAATAGAAAGGTTTGAGTCAGCATAAAGGGAGTGAGGCTGGAAAGAGTCTTTCAAATAAAAACAGAAACAAGCCCAGAGTGCTGAGGCAGAGAAGCAGTGGGCCTCGATAAGCTCCACCAACCACAGAACAGAACCTGATGTAATCCAGAACATCCTGCGTCACAGTCCCAAATCGTAGTTAACATGCTGGAGGTCTGAGAACCAGTCACATGTTCCTACAGTTTTACTCGTTTGAAATCAGAAGGACTATTCTTTTTTTACTGCATCAATAAAAACCCAGATTGAAAGTTTACTGCACATCACAAACCAGTCTGACAGCGGGCCTCAGGCAAGAACCACCAAAACAAACGGATTCATTGGAGAGAACTTGTTACTGTTTTGCTGTGCATGATTTTTTGTTGTTGTTGTTGACACATTTGAAAAGTAGCCAATTGAAAATATGAAGATGTGTAGGCTGCTATGAGATGGAAGTTTTGGGTTTTTTTGATGTAAGATTAACATCAGGAACAGATGAAGACACAAATAGAATCCTCTACAGTCTACCGTGTACTTTGATGCTGATACAATATCTTATCCTGTAATTCTGCTACCCTAAATGTCTTTGAAAAGTGCAGATTTACAACCAGTTTAGTTTGGCGAATCAGTGTATTTGGATTCAACACAACTGTTGTTTGCACGAGGCCCACCGTTTTTCTGTTAATGTGTTAGGGAACTCAGCTGAGGTTACTTTGCGCCACTCTGCATTAGAATTAACTGCATTAACTGATTAACCAGTTAATTGACATTGCACTTCAAGGCTTTGAAATGAAAGATGTGTAACCAAAAAAAAAAAAAAAAAGGGGCAACTTAAATCAGAAAGGGAGCAGGCACAACACAAAGACAGACCAGTGGGACAAAAGGAGTAAGAGAAAAACTGTTCAGTTACCTTTCCCAACATTCTTTTTGGTAGCTGACGAAGGAGAGGGAATCATAGGTAATTTCAACTCAGCACGATTTGACTCAGTCAGAAGGTAGTGGGACTTATAGGCATATGAACTTAATATGGTGTCAGTAAGGTCTTGCACTAACAGCCCTACACAAGACACACAGGAAGAGACGGGGGTGAGCCGCAGTCAAACTCGAAATTACCCAAAAATTCACAGAAGAGAAAGAACAAACACATGCGCTCGGTCTCTCTCGCTCTCTCTCACACACACACACAAACACACACACACACACACACACACACACACACACAGAAGAAACAAGTAAAACAACGTTTGTCCCAACACACAGAGGCCAAACGGGGCACTGGACTGAATATTTACCAGGCGAAACATCAAATCTAAACCACTTTTAAGAAGTCAGAATGCATCTCCATCCTGAGTAGAAGGGATTCTTTAAAGGGAAGTGCAGCCTCCATGATTCATAGAATTAGTGTTGTGATGGAAAACAAACCATTACATAGCACAGCATGTAGCTTTCCATTAAAACAATAAGCCCAAAAACATGAAATATTGAATATGAGATCCAAACATGATATATCTAAAACAAAATGCATGTGGGATTATCATTTATGCTTATGCATGCAGTGTTATTCCAGATTTGACTGCATCATAAAATGGTAAGATTTTTAAATTTAAGAAGAAAATATACAATCTTGGAAGCTGATCTGGACCTGTAGAAGCCCAAATGTGAATTTATCTTGTGGTTTTGAATCATCATGTGAAAAGTGTGGTGAATTAAAAACCTTCCACACTAGAGGAGACATGGGCAATAAGTGCGTTCTGCTGCGAGAGCTCACCTCGGGCACACAGGAAGCACCAGCCCACGTTGACGGGGGAGCTGAGGAGGCCGTTCTTCTTGGTGCTGCCGTGGTTGCTGCAGATCATGATGTGATGGGTGAGGGCGACGCTGCCTGCAGCCACGCAGCCGTCTCCTGTGTGATAGGCCACCGGACAGCGGATACAGCGCATCAGACGGCCTGGACAGGGAGTGGAGGGAGAAAAAAAATAAAATAAAAAGACTCAGAAAAGAGAGTCAACTGACCTTTTCTGCACAGGACAAGTTTTGATGAACTTCTCACTCCGTCACATGAGTCACGTATCAGTGATAAAGTGGAGCACACTCACAAATCCCTGTCATTGCAGAGTTTTATAATGAATTAGGTCAGATTCTTTTATGGTTTCCAGCTGTAATTAAGAGAAGTCAGGAGGGAAATACACAACAACTTTGTTCTTTTTTGGCTGCAAAGAGAATCAAGATTTCTTTTATCTTTGTCCTCAATATGGTTTGACATTGAACACTAACACTTGATGTTTTGGACCAGTGGTGGGCCAGGGACACAAAAGAAAAAGCTGAAGGCTGAAGTATATTATTCATGACGAGACCCTGAGGGGTTTAAATAAAGTAAAAAAGGAACCAAAAGCGGTGCTAAAATCTTTTTGCATTCCTTCCGGACTTGCCTTCAGCTTAATATTCTGGAAAAAACAAATGCAGCACAGGCGATGTGGCTGCACAGGTAATCACAATATCACTGTTATGAGAATCTCCTATATAAACACGTTGCAAAAGTTCATTTAATGGATTCATAGAAGCAATGCTTTCTCACTCAGCATGCATACATTTCACCTGTTGGATGAGAGGCTGTGTGTAATGGCCCTGCTGTAACACCATGTTGATGCAGTAGGTTGAAGCTCGAGCTAGCTAAAAGCTACCCACAGATTAACTGGTGCAAATTTAGTTTCGAAAATAAAAAGCTTTTGGGATTTGTTTGGATTTAGGGAGGTGTTTTAGCAGACACAGGTCTTGTGTAAAACCTAAATGTACAGGCACACAGTCAAGGTGTAAGTGTAACTTTTCAGCCTCTCTCTCTCTCTCGATCTAATGTTCGTGAGGAAATGAAAATATTTCTTTTCAGCTTCTCTTTGACAAATTCTACTGGGTAGGTTCAGTCTTTGTGCTTGTAGTCTGTAATGTTTTTTTTTTTTTTTTTACACTTTGCTGATGCAGCACTGCCTCAATGACACAGAACTTCCACTTCAGACTGAAACAGGAAATCAAAGAAGCTGAAAAAACAATGCAGACACTGGTTTACCTTTACTGGCTCGTTGTAGGTCTCTCTCCAGGCAGCAGGTAGAGCAGCTGTGCTGAGGGCAGCAGAAGCCTCCACCCTGACTGCTGGTGGTTCCTGGGAGTTTCTGAACACAGTCTTCGTGGTAGAAGCAACCACATCCAGAGACAGAGCATCGTGTCACCTCCCGGCCCGAAGTCTTACAGCTAAAACAAGGATGATTGCCTGCAAAAAGAGAGAGAGAGAGAGAGAGACTGTGTTAGAAAAGAGAGAAACACAATAAATGTATAAACGGTGCTGTGTTCTGATTGGCTCACCATTTCTACATTCCAAACAGACGTATCTGCCTTCAGGTAGGGACGAGAGACCGAGACAATCCAGGTGAAACTGTCGGCTGCATTCACCTTCACACACCACCAAACCGTCCCCGTACGTCTCGCAGATCTACACGCAGACACACAAAGACAGTAAGAACATCATATAACCGTTTACAAGTAAGAAACTAAACATCGGAATCGTGAGCAGCCCTCACCTGGCAGACGGTGTCTCTTTTGCCGGTGCTGCTGTCCTTACGGGACAAACCCGAGTCCACAGACTGAGTGTCTGAAGCATCTGCGTCTGCCGCCGCCGGACTATCAAGACTCTTCCCGAACAAACCCTGAGAGACAAAAAGAAGAGTTAGTTTGAAGATTTGTTTCTTGAGATGGAATCCAGCTTACAGACCAATCTAGTGTGAGCTATCTATTTAACAACAAATGGTTATTTTTAATTGTTGAATTACGTGTCCACTCTTGGCTTAATGTACAGAGAGTCACCTCCACCCTGTATTAAAAGTGCAGATTGTACCTCTAATCTTACAGTACCCAAACAAGTATAGACTTTAAGAATATTAATTGGAATAAAAAAAGACAAATACAATTTAAAAAAATGATGATTCCATAATTTAATGTAAAAATTCCTGAAAGTAAGATGGGTGTATATTCTGACTTTTGCTGGATTTTCTAACAGTGGCTTCCTCCCTTTGTGCATAGTTTTTTTTTTTCTTTTCTATGTATGCATATTTTCTTATCTCACCTGTGGGTCATTGAGGCCTCTCGAGTCTGAATCGGAGGTGTCTCTATACTGAGAAGAAGCCATCTCCACATCTGTTGAAGCTCTGCTTCGCTTCTTCAGAGGCTTGCAGGCGTCTGAGATCTCACTGGCCCCTACAAAGATTACAGAGGGCGTTATGAACAATGACATCGTTTTAACTTCTTATTAGTATTTGGAGGAAGAAGACACAGAGGTTCAGATCATGAGACAATGATGGATCCCCCAACCTTTCTGTGAACCCGTCCTCAGGAGCATGGTCTCAGGAGCCATCTCAGCCTGTGAAGAGGGTTTAACATGAAAATGTATTTCATCATTGATTAAAAGAAAAGAAAAATGTGAATCTGACATCGCTCTTTTTCCACTAATAAGCTGACCACGGACATCATGCAGGGGAAATGACAATTGCTGTATTGAATTTTGAACGTAAAACAATCTTCTCTCTACTACAGTCCTGTGAAGATGTCTACCTACACACTGCAGAATTCAAGAAAACATTAACTACACACTTTTTTAAAATTTATCTAGGATCCTTATTGTAAAGTTCACAATGCAAAAATAGCAACAACTCAAATCAAACTGCAGTCTGCTTTATGCTGTTTACAGGCTTAATGCTAAGCTAGGCTAACCGCTTTCAGACTCCACTGCATTTATCCCAGACATGAGTAGTATTGATCTTCTCGCCACAACAAGCTAGAGAGTCTGCCAACACACTGGAAAGGATCTGCACATAAATACCTTTTTTTGTTCAAATGTAAGATCTTTTTTTTTTTTTTTTTTTTTGTTACACTACAAACTGAAGTTTTGCTTTTCATTCCGGAGAAGTTAGGTATGAAATGTCAAAAGAGTTTATGCATGAAGGTAACAGTGGAAACATTGATCAGAGTTGTAGAGAGGATTTTGTTGTTGTGGTGTAGACTGTCAAATATTCTCAGTAACTACTTGAGCCCATTAGTGGCCAAAAAGAGGCATTTCTAAGGCACCTGCTTTGATGACCATTGACCATTCAGGTTTAGTGTTGCTGCAGACTTCTAAAACATGTTTTTTTATTTTAGTCAGTTAGACCAAGTATATAGTATATAAGAAAAGGGCCCAGGTTTAGATGAACACTATACATCTACGGTTTTTGGTCTGAACAGGGGCTTATACAGTGAGGACTTATACCTGTTCTTTTTTGGTTTTCTTCTTGGGGACGGGATCTGATCCTCTCTCTGACTCAGACCTGCTCCTGACTGATCGCCGCTGCAGCTTCCTCTCCTGAGAACCTGAAAGCACATCAAAGAATTTAGCTGAATCTCTTACAGACTTTACAACTTCAATAAAATCACACACCAGGCACCACCTATGTCTGTTTTACTCACTGTGAGGACTACTGTGGTGTGATCCAGGAGAGGAGGTCTGCTGCATTCCTCCCTCCTCACTCCTGCGACTGGCGGGGGAGCCTCTCCTTTCGTCCCCGTCTTCCTCTCCCTCATCCCCATCTTCCTCCTCCTCCTCAGGACTGGGCTCAGGTTTAGCTCTGTCCTGCTTAAAGCATCAACATTTAAAACATCTGTACAGAATGACTCTGTGTGGATATGCATTTCTGTCTGTGTCACAAACCTCAGGCGAGCAGTATCCCAGGTCGGGCTGCCTGGCCTCTTGCTCCACTTGCTCCTCCTCCTTCTCTTCCTCCTCCTCCTCCTCTTCTTCTTCTTCTTCCTCTTCTTCTTCCTCTTCTTCTTCCTCCTCCTCTTTGTCTTTTTTTGGAGACGTCGCAGCTTTTTTCTGCAAGAGAGGCCAGTCACACTTTGTGATCTCCACGTTCAGCCTCTTCATGGTGATGGAGAGAGGTAGCAGCTTTCTGGCAGCCGCTGTTTTCCAGGCTCTGACTGGAGGCGGTGAGTCCTGGCGTGTTCGAGCCTCACCACCGGAGTTTTGTTTTGGAGAGCAAGTCTTTAGTTGGTCCCCCTTCTGGTTCTGGTCTTCGTTCGAGGCTTGGGAGTGTGCATTGTCCTCTGTGTTGGACATGCTGCACAGTCGGCGTGGTAGCTGCCTGCGTGGCGGCTGCTCTCTTTCAGGCGACTTCACTCCTCTGTCTTCCTTCTTGCTGAATGAGCCACTGGAGCGGCGGTTTCGTTTCTCCGCTCTGATGTTGGGTTTCTTGCTAGGCGGGGCTTCAGCCGGCTCCGGGTCGACATAGATGAAGGTGTAGTTGTCGATTCTCTCCTGCTTTGTCATTACAAAGGCGTCCTCGGCATGGCCCACTCCCACCTCCCACTGAGAGCGCTCTCTCTGAGGGATAGGCTTCAGAAGCTAGGAAGAAAACAGCCAAAATATTAACAAAGAATCTGATGAGCTTGATATACAAAGAGCAACAACATTTTCAGTATTGATTTTTCAAATATACAGCTCCACTACTACACTGCTCAAAAAAATCAAAGAGTCTTGAGAGAGTTTGGCAGATGGTCAGTGATGGTCTTGGGAGGCATTTCCTTTGCATACATGGCAAAGTATCCCTGGTTCTAAAGGCCAGGTTAAAATGTCACCTGAGCCCCTGGATGCATAGCACAGAAATAAAATGTGTTTTCTCGGTCATTACATGTCAGGTAATTGTTTGCTATTTAAAAAACGCCTACAGTACATAGAATCAGTTTGTACATACTTTGCTTTTCTCCACAGGGTTCGAGGTCTTGCGAAGTGTCTCAGCCTGAAGATCATCAAACTGTTTCTTCCCCTGGTACACGACGATCCTCTTCTCATGGATCCAGGCGCGCTCAGCCACACTGCCAAAGAACTGGACATGATACTCCCTGTGACCTGTGCCGGCAGAGAAAAGGAAAACAAGCGGTGGTGTTTGTGCACATCCCAAAAACATTTTTAAAGTTGATTCTTTAGCTATTTATGCCTTTATTTAGAGACGGGACAGTCGATAAATTCAGAAATACGAAAGCGAGAGTGGGGAATGACATGCAGGAAATGAATCACAGGTCAGATCCGCCCCGCAAGGAGCACCACAGCCTTCGTACCACCAGGCACATCCAATTTGTAGGTTGTTTTTTTTTGTCATGTGCACAGAAATGACTGTTAAATAGTAAAATTCTTTATTCTCAGGCTCCCGTGAACATTGTGAAAACATCAGCTTTTAAAAACTGACTGAGGCAAGTAGCAGAGACAATCTAAGACCCTAGACAGTTCTCAAATATTCTAAAATAGAGAATACAAAACAGTGGTCAGTAACAGGAAAGATAATATGAACAATGGAATGAAAATAAAGGAGTTCATATCTTTGAGACAATATCTTTAGGGTGTTTCGAGTGATTCACTTCTGCATGTGTGTTTGTACCTCTGGTGTTGATGCGAGTGTGGACCTTCATCTGCGGGTCCGATGAGACCATGCAGGGCCACCAGGGGTATGTGCCGACCTTGGACCACACCAGATCTCCTATCACAAACTCCTTACAGAAGCCCGTCTCCTGGATCACTGATGGATGATGGACCTTGGGAACCTGAACATGAATGACTCAATGTTTACTACTGTCTGAAGTTATTTGTGTGCAGAGAATTCAAACTGCTCCGCAGTAGAGAACAGTCAAGCTCTTGCCTTGGGCGTCTTTGGCTCTGTTTTGATGATGGTCTTCTGAGGCTTCTCTGTCTGAACTGGGGTTGTTTCCGTCGGCTGGGGCTGGATGTGAATGTCCTCTGTCTGCTCCGTGGTACCTGTCTGTGGTTGGCTCTGGTCCAGATTCTGTTCCTGGACCTGCAGCTGCAGCCGCGCACTCTTTTTCCTCTTCTCCTTCTTCCTCTCATGTCTGGGCTGCATCGGCGCGTCATCGTTCTTCTGATGATAAAAAAAAAAAAAAGGACATCAGGGAACTTTTTTTTTTCTTTTATATTTTGAATTTTCTATAAACGCAATCCAAGAATGGATCTGTTGTCTTCTGAAATCAAAAACATCCTCAAATATCTACCTCTCATCTGCTGTTAAGAAGATCATTATAGGTAAACAAAATGCTCAAAGTTTAACATTTCCATATTTCAATTTTAAATGGACAGATGACAAATGTTTTTGGTGTGTGATCAAATTGTTCTGGGGTTCAGAACAGAGCCTTGTGATGTTACGTAAGATAAGATGTTGATTGTATGTAGAGCAGAAAATGAATATGCAAAAATATGTTTCAAAAGGAAATGCTTGTTCCTCCTCTTCTTGAACATTTCCTGCTTTGCATGGTTTTACATTTAAGTAACTGCATATCTTCTTCAGCATTCTGACCATCCACTTAATCCCAAGGAATTTATAATCTGTCATTTTCATAAATTTAGTTTTTGGCATTTTGTACGCCAAAAAAGTAAATGATGAGGAGACAAAGTGTGTGTTTGATCTGTAATGGCTCAGAAATCTCAGTAGTTAAGTGTTCATGCTTTCTTTGATGAGAAGACATATATTCTATAACATTTGAAGAGTGGTATAATGAAATTATTTGAAATAATCTAACATGATTTAGTAGAGTGTTTTTTTTTTTTTAATTCTTTCAATTCATCTTGATTTATTACGTATAAAAACTGACTGCAGGAATGTCTGACCGTGAACCTTTGTTCATTTGCAGACATTAACACAAATATGAAAAGATAAATGTATATATGATGACGTGTATATGAAAGTCCTAAATATGTGCAGGCAGAGCAGACATACAACCAGTGAATGTATTACATTCATGAAAACCCTGAGATGTGATAAAAAGTTAGAAAACTACTTGAAAAAGACATTTAAGGGTGTAAGAAGTTTAGTCCAAAGTGCAAAATGAATAAACTGTCGCACTCTAGAGGCTGAATCAAAACAATTAGATATTCATCAATGTATCTTCATAAACAGAATTGTATTATATCTAAAAAGCCAAATACTACATCCTAACCACTACAGGACATTTTAAAATTGGTTGTTTTGATTCAAACCAAAAGATATAATGAAACAAAACAGAGAGAAACTGCATATTCACTATTTGAAGAAAGATGCCCTAAAGAAAACACTAAACAATTAAATGTATATGATTCTTAAATCTACTCATTCATGAAAAGTATTTTTGGAGCGGAAAACTTTGAAAGACATTTAAAACTATAAGAGGACATGACATGGTGTCTGAAGTGATTCAGAACTCTGTGTGTGCCGTTACTTGGTAATGCATTACCTGCAGTTCTTGCAGCAGGTCTCCACACAGAGCAGATTCAAACAGCTCCTTTCCGTTCTGATACGTCTTTATGATCTTCAGCTTGATCTCTGGGGAGCTGGTTTTCTTCAGGACCCCACCAGGGGTGATGGACGGCGCGTGGGAGGGCTGAGAGGAAGGGGTACTGTCCACAAGGGAGGGGGGAGGACTGGAGGAAGGGAGGTGCAGGGAGGAGGAGGGGGGAGCGTGTGGGTCATGATATGAGGCGTCTGGGCGAGGTGGTGCTGGGGGGGCAGCGGGGGCGGAGGGGGACTCTGCGGGTGGGAGTGGGTTTGTATGTGAGGTGGGTTGGAGTGGAAGTGGTGCGCATGGTGGTGGTGATGGGGTAGGTGATGATGGTGTAGGAGATGTGGGTGATGTGTTGGCAAAGGGGGGGACACGGGGGACAAAGGTCTCTCCTGGAGACCCGGCCCTCTCAGGACCGTCGCCTCCCCTGGCAGGAGGCCGTGCTCTGCATAGCTCCGTATCGCCCCGTAGCCGTTAGCCGAGCCGTTGGGGAACTGGGAGTACATGGAGAACTTGGCCTGCGGCTCGTACATGCCCAGCCCCGGCGGATAACCGTTGGAGACCTGTGACATGTCCTCTGGGGCCGACGACGGGTAGGAAAACTCATCCAGGGCAGCATCGTAGGAGGGTCCACCATCCTCGCCCGGGTCACTGCCGGTGTCACAGGTGCCTTCCTGTCTGATGTTGGCTGAGTCAATGAGCTGAGGGGGTTGCTGAATTGTATTTCCCATGATCCCTTGCATGAAAGAGAAGGAGAAATCCATTGTTGGGCTCCTGCATCCTTAACTGTCTTTTTCTTTGACTGGACCTGTTGATAGAGATGTAAATGTGCATATGTGACAGAGGTCGGCTTTCAAATAACTCAAATCATTTCCTCATTTATCCTTCAGAAAACCTTAAAAAAAAAAAATAGAACAGGAAGCACCAGGGTTAACATTTCATTAATCAAAATCTGCACTATGCATGACCCCTCCTATCCCTCCACTAACTCTTAACGTGTATGCATGTATCTTTCGTTTTTCAGACATGAAGTTTTTACTAAAGGCTTCAAACGGTACATTAATTACATTTACCTTGCCCAAACAACCCACCTATACTCGCTTTCTATCGTGCCTTGAGTTACTGTGTATCCTTAAGTTTGCTTTACTTTTATGAAACACTCATGTTTTGGAATATGTTCTTTGAGAGAATAATCTAAAATATTAAACTGAATGTTTACACTCTACAACTACTGGAGGGTGTCCTGTTGGCCTTCAGTTCACAAGACTCTTCATGTTATCGTTCCTCTATTCAATCGGCATTACAGTGTGAAGTGTTCCAATGAAGGCCAGAGCATAACAACGTCAATCCTGACTACATGTCGCACCTGATCTTACAGTTCAATCCAATGCTGCACTTTGGCGTCGCATATTTGCAAACAAAATTTGCACAAAATGGTAAACAAAATAAGTGCCAACCAGTGAAGTGAGCCATCCCACGCCTTGCCTGGCAGGTAATCACAAGCTGTGGAGCTTGGAGATATTTAGTGACGAGAAGCACCAAACTGAGAATGAATCAAGTATATCTCAGATTGAACCTCGACTTGAGCTTATATACCACTTTTCTAGTCTTCTGACGACTCAAAGCGCTTTTTTTTTTTTTAACACCACCTGTCACACCCACCCATTCACACCCTGTCACACACTGACGGTAGTGATCGCCATGTAGTATCATCCATCAGAAGTAACTAATGAATGAATGTATTTTGTTATTTTTTTGCTACTGCATCAGAGCTCTGTGAAGTCCAAGACAAATTTCCCACTGGGACAATAAAGTTAATCTTAATAATCCCATTCATACATCGCCACTGAAGCAGCGGGAGCAATTCAGGGTTAAGTGTCTTGCCCAAGGACACATCGGACACGTCGCTCAGCTGGGGGATCGAACCCTCGACCTTCTGCCAACTGAGCCACAGCCGCCCCCTGATATAATAAACAGGTTAAGGATAAAAGGATTATTTAAACACTTCGGTAAAGTTTTAAAGAAAACTAGAATGAATTCTTGTTAATCCTCGTCTCACACACAAAAAGGCCTTATATTCACACACACACACACACACACACACACACACACACTGTTCTCCATATAAGTTGATGATAAAAAGGTATCTCCTGGATGTGAAACACCAGTGGATCTAAAGTGAACTTTCTTATCAGACTCTTTCCCAAACACAGGACAAATTCCAGACAAAATCCCCTCCAATTATCTTGCTGCTTACTCCCCACAACACGTAACAAATTACAGAGTTTAAAGCGGGTTATTGTTTTTAAATAGGCTGCTTATTTTTTTTTTTTAATTATTCATCAGAGTGGTTCCTCCTCTTTCCCACAAGCCAGAGATCACTTTAACCTTAATTTCATCAACACAAACACATGGGGGCCTACTATTGCAAACAAAACAAAACAAAAAAAGAAGAAGCAGAGATGCCAGAGTGGTGTGGCTTGTCCTCTTTTTCCCCTTTTAACAACACGAATATCCATCGTGAGAGAGGAGACAGAGAAGTGGAGACACTGAAATGTAGTTTGAAGTGTGAGCAGGGCAGCTTTGGCACAGGTTGACCACGGTGATGTAAACATCCATAAAGGTGTCAACTATCGGTCACTTGCCACCTATTTCGATGCTGTTATGTTATTTTAGAGTACTTATCTCCACAGTGGTTAACATTCAACACTCAATATGAGGACAAATGTTTGAAAACAACCTGCGCGCACACACACACACACACACACAAATATCTATTTAGCTTTCTGCGATGTTAGCCTGATAAGCTACCTGGCATCAAAGGGAAATGTCCTGACAAGATTATGAACATTATTAACCACAAAGGGGGGATTAAAAACACAGCTTCAAGACACGGTTGCTTGTCTTAGTCTCAGGCCACCAACATTTGCCTTATTGTTTGTCCATTTAAGAGCATCACACATGGAGGAAGATGAAAGGGAAAGCTAAAGCTACTAGCATTCCTCTGCCAACATGGCTGCTGCCTTTTTTTTTTTTTTTTTTTTTTTTTGCCCCCTTTAAATCAAATTGTCTGGCTTGATTTAAAACCTTTCGGGTTTGAAGGTGGATAGAAAAAAAATGTGCCTTAAATGTTAGTTAGCGAAAAAACTAAATAGAAGATCTGTGCAGAGACAAGAGGAGGAGAGAGGAGGTTCAACAACATGCATCCACCGCGCTTATCGCTAAAGAGGGAAGGAGCAGCACAGATTCAGATGCAGGGGAAGAATAATAATAATAATAATAATACACAAATAAAATGGCAATACCTTCAGCGTGTCCCATTCTAAACACATACACCAACCAGCAACGCTTCCTCGTTTAATCTATAAAAAAAAGGGGGGGGGAATAAAAAAAAAAATCCTGTGATTTAGGTAAAGCGCAGGCCTTTTTCCTCTTTTCGTTTTAACGCAATTCTCAACAGAGAGGAGGAGGAGGAGGAGGAGGAGGAGGAGGAGAGGGGTGAGGGGGGGTGTTACGATATCTGGTCGCTGCCCAATCCCAAAGCTTGTCTCTTCCTCAGTGTTAGGGGGGCTGTGGAGCATTTAAGAGAGAAAACCCTGCTAACGTAAAGTCACATATATCCAATTCTCTCGACCTCCTCCTCCTTCTCCAGTGTGTGTGTGTGTGTGTGTGTGTGTGTGTGTGTGTGTGTGTGTGTGTGCAGGAGTCTTCTTCTTCTTCTTCTTCTTCTTCTTCTCAATAAGAGTCTCTAGCTCCCTCTTCCTCTGCTTTAACAAAAGCGCCCTGCTTTTTTTTGTTTTTTTGTTTGTTGTTGTAGTCCCAGGCCTGCGGTGTCGGTGTTCCTCAGCTCAGATCCCGGGGACTGGATGGAGGGGGGGGTTATGATCAGGACTCAGGAGCACCACTTTGGATGTGTAGTTCACATTTCATAGCGTCTGCTTAAACAGGAAAAGGAGTGCTGCAACTAGGAACAAGAAAAAAAAAAAAAAGGGGAACCGGATTAAACACTGGTGATAATAGTGACACCGACACTAAAGTGAAACAGGAAATGCATGTGTCATTTAAGGAAGATCATTTTTAAGGGGATTTAAAAAAATATATATCTCCGTAGATAATTTTAAAAAATGATGGAGTTTTTAAATAAATGTTGTGACTGTTATAAAATGCGCAATTGTTTTTATTTTATTTTTTTTACACCCTAACCAAAACGCGATGCAGATGCCGTATAGTGACGTTTACGCCGTCGTCTCTGCTTGGTGTTTTATACGCCTGCTCGCCTGATCTGTAGCAGAGAAGGGGGGGAGATAGAAAGAGACAAACCTCTCACTCTGCCCCTTTTTCATGGTACCACGATTGTTATGGTCCCGATTCTGCACGGGTTGTTGTGTGCACTGCAGGACTATTTGGATTTTTTTTTTTGTGTGTGTGGTCATTTTACACACCAACATTATTAGGACAATATGATTTATAATATCTTAAATATCTCGTGCAAAACTAATATGCAAAATGTATTCTTACTGGCAAAAAACACAGAGGCCAGTTGTGGGACATTTTTTTTAAACCAAGGAGCCATAAGCTGTTTGGATAATATAAACAAAAGTTATATGTTCTCCATTCATGTGTTTGTGCTAATGCTGATAAATTAATTGCATTGCATTAATTTCCAGTTGCATTTGCAAACTTAGATCATCTGTCGACCTGTAAGCCTAAGGGAAAATAATTAAAGTTTATGATCAGCTGACCAATATATCTGGTACAAATTGAATAGCTTTTTGTCTTTTGTCACAGGTGATGTTTGTAGTGCCTGAAAACTATGCATGTTATACTATACCTAAATATTTGTCCATTTATACACAGTTAAGCTGTACAGTAATTCCCACTGCCCTGTGTCATACTTTGGAAATGTGTATCACATTTTTGTAATGCATGTTTTTCCACAGAGCTGCACTAAATTTTGTTAGTGGCATGCTTATTGATTTGTCTTTATTTATGATATGTCTTGTAAAACTAAGTTGCAGCACTCCTGCTAATGAATACAGGTCCCAGTTTTATTGCAGTTCTGGTTTGGAGCACCACTTTGTTAGAGAAATATGAGTTTTGAGTTATGAGTTTTGCCTATTATGCTTACATTTTTGGAATTGTGAAAACAACTGCATTAGCATTTGTGCAGGCAGGAAATGGGTTTTCCCCCATTGGGTCTATTTAGACAATTCGATACTTGAGCTGAAAAAGGTTAAGAGCAATAAAGGGGTGCAATTGGTGTATTGGAGTCATTGCATGTCCTGCAAAACTAACCCACATTATTCAAACCATTTTTTAATCTCAAATAATTGCTATACACTTCTAAACAAGTTATTAGCATATAATATGGATGAACATAGGATCCATGTATTGCCTCATAGTTGCTCTGAAAAAGATTTTGAGTTTGGTCAATCTGTATTTGTCAGTTTAAATTTCACATTCAGGAGCGCTGGGGAAAAATAGTTCTTAGTTATATCCTAAAGTTGAATGTTATCAATCATAACAATTCAATTAATAAATAACTAAAAAAATAAACTTAATTCTAAGATTTATTCAAACCTAAGATCTTAACCACAGTTAGGCGCCTTGTTTTGCCGTCTTTTTACTAAACGGAAAGTTGGAACAGATTTTCACACAGCGTGTAACTCATCTTTCAGAAACACACGATCTTTGGTGGATACGCACACAACATTGACGCATGCTCAGCGTGACCTTCCAGTGCGGCTGCCCGGGGAAGGCTGCGAGGAGCTGAGCAGAAACGACCGGGAGCTTAAAACACGACGCTTCCGAGGGGGCCGATTTATCAACAATAAACCCACCGTAAATGGGTTTATTACCGCAACAGTTTTTACTCTCGCCACTCCCGTTTACTTGGAGCGATTGTTGTGGATGGATCGTTTTATTCACGTCTCACCGAGAAGCCTTAACAACGCCCCGTCAGCAGCGGCAGCCATAGCTCCGTCATTGACGCTGGAGGTTAGTGGGCTCGTCATCCGGGGACTGCTATCTCACAAGCTAACCGGCTAGGCTACAGGAGGGTCCCGGAGCTAATGTGAACCTCATGTACCGACAGCTTTCAGAGGTTTCTAGAGAAGCCGTGTTAACATATTTTCTGCATGATTTATTTTAGGGTGTCGTTGTTTAAGAGGGGGATCTATCAAATTGTCACAGGTGGCCCCCGGTGGCTGTGCTGTCTGACATGTAACGTGATCGCTTGTGTTGTTACATAATGTTTTGAGCTGACGTTAACACGCGGTCCTGTTTTGGTTTTCGATCATGTTATCTCTGCCATTTGTAATAATCTCTCATCACGGCCTTCAGTTTTGTTTTCTTGGTTAGAGGTGTGTTTCGATCTGGTGTTAGTTGTACTTGTTGTGCTTTTTGTTTTCTCCACTTCAGCCTGTTGCTGAACGAATGAAATGTAATCAGACACCTGTTCGCTCTCTCTCTCTCTCCCTCTCTCTCTCTCTATCTCTCTCTCTCTCTCTCTATATCTCTATATCTCTCTATCTCTATCTATATCTCTCTCTCTTTCTCTCTCTCTCTCTCTCTCTCTCTCTCTCTCTCTCTCTATATATATCTATATCTCTCTCTCTCTCTCTCTCTATATCTCTATATCTCTCTATCTCTATCTATATCTCTCTCTCTTTCTCTCTCTCTCTCTCTCTCTCTCTCTCTATATATATATCTCTCTCTCTCTCTCTCTCTCTCTCTCTCTCTCTCTCTCTCTCTCTCTCTATATCTCTATATCTCTCTATCTCTATCTATATCTCTCTCTCTTTCTCTCTCTCTCTCTCTCTCTCTCTCTCTCTCTATATATATCTATATCTCTCTATATCTATATCTCTCTCTATATCTATATCTCTCTCTCTCTTTCTCTTTCTCTCTTTGTCTCTGTCTCTTTCTCTCTATATATCTCTATCTCTCTCTATCTCTCTCTTTCTCTTTCTCTATCTCTATCTATCGCTCTCTCTATATATCTCTCTCTATATCTCTTTATATCTCTATCTCTTTCTCTCTCTCTCTTTATATATATATCTCTATCTCTCTCTCTTTCTCTCTTTCTCTCTCTCTATCTCTATCTATCTCTCTCTATATATCTCTTTATATCTCTCTCTCTTTCTCTCTCTCTCTCTCTCTCTCTCTCTATCTTTCTCTCTCTCTCTCTCTGTCTCTCTATCTCTATCTATCTCTATCTATCTCTCTCTCTATCGCTCTCTATATATATCTCTCTCTATCTCTATATATCTCTCTCTCTCTATCTCTATCTATCTATCTATCTCTCTCTCTATCGCTCTCTATATATATCTCTCTATCTCTATATCTCTCTCTCTTTCTCTCTCTCTCTCTCTCTCTCTCTCTGTGTGTGTGTTCCTCAGGATTCTGCAATCTGCTCCTGCAATGGCCGTCTTTAGTCACCAGGTGCTCCTTGCGGTCACACGATCAAGGTAAGTAATCAGCACATGGCTACACTTGACTTGCACATGAGGTTCTGGCAAAGTAAAGTATTTGGTTTCCTTTAGAGTATAATTACACGAAGAGCTGGTTCTCTTCCCAGAGTTCAGTGGTTGCAGTTACAGGCTCTTGTGTGCAGTCTCTGTTTACATAGTGTCTGCTACAGTGAAGCCTCTTCAGTGTATCCCATCATGACCCCAGTGAGGTAAACTAATCGACTGGTTTCTACTGATGATGCAAGACTGAAAACTTGAGTCTAGATTAAGACCACTCTAAAATGGATTTGGGTTTTTTTCCAGACCTACCTTACCTAAATTCTCTTGATATTTACAAGAAGGATTGTTTTATAGTACAGCTTTAAATCTGTATTTTTATCACCGTTGAGCAGCATACTGTAAAACAAAATAAAAGCCATGACATGATCACATATGACCATGGTTGTGCCAGTTAGAGACTTCGCCTTAACATTTTGAAATAATAAGATTACTATAGATTTTTTAATCAGGTATTTTTTCTGTCAAAAAAACTGCTTTTCCTGTCACATTATGTAATTTTAGTAACTTATTTAATAAAATAGAGAAAAAAAATAGAAATTAAATAGAAAGAAAATTGAATATCACCAATCCCTACAGTATTACAATATAAATGTAAAAAAATCAGAGATGCACATCAAATTATTCAAACGAGAAATATCTGAACTTTGTGTTTGCTTCACATACAAACAGGAAGCGGCATCAACGCGTTTACACTGAAGTGCAAGAAATTGTATTTTTGATCATATAGAAGGAGCTGTTCCATCTCCTCTCTCACGATTTGTGAGCACTTCTTAACAGTTCAGTCTGAATGTCATTGTCTGCAAAGTGAGACGGTGCAAGCTGAGAATGTTTATAGCGCCCAATGAACTGTTCTTGATCTGTGATGTGGATCGCGCCGTAAATCCGATTCGTAAATTAAGTCAATATCGGACTTGATACCCATATTGGATCAAATCAGTCCCATCTCCATTTAAAAAAAATATTTTTACATTTTACATGCTTTATTGATCCCTGAGGGAAATTCTGGTTTTACACCCTTTTATTGAGACACATGCTTTTCACACACAGGCCCAAAATACACACAAGCACAGACAGGACCTTTGGACATGCATTAATGGAGAACTGTCAGAGTGAGGTGGAGGAGTCGGCGACGCTCTGGATCCCAAACAAAGTCCCTAGAGACTGAGCTACTGCCGCCCTGAACTATACCCTTTGAGTTTACATTGAAAATCTAACATTCATATTAATAGAAATCAAAGTAATCTGTATTTATTATGCACAATTTAAACATTTCAAGTAGATTTTCAGAGGCAGCAATAAAAAAACTCATAAAACGATTTGTTTTATTCAAACAAAGACACCAAAAGAGTTTAAAAAAAAAAAAATTTTTTAAGGAAGTTACAAACAGTAAAAATAATCAAGCAAAACCAAAGACTCTCCAGTAAAATATTTTTTCGAGGCATAAGAAATGACTGACTTTGTGGTTGGTATTTCCACAGGCAGATTGTGGATTTACATTTGTATTAACGGTCTGATTTGTCACTGTCAGCTTATCGAGCACTTCTAAACATTAAGTGCGATGACTCTATATTATATTATAATATATAATATAGTATAATATTTTTCAAGGAGAGGAATGTTTCTAGATGAATAGAGGGCGTCAGTGGATGTTGGGATTCAATTTTTTATCAAGTAAACAAATCACCTTTTATTAATGTCCGTCACCTGCTCTGTGTGATTGACCTGTGCACACTGAAATGATGCTCACACTACGCAGATGGTACTTTACCGACTCTGCTAGTTAGTCTGTGAAGAAACAGGCACATAGGGTCTGAAAGGTGATGTACAAATAAAGTTTGATTGATTAAAAACAGTTAACAGTAATGTTGTCTAATGCTGACTAGATGATGTATCTTTTAGAGTTGAGAAGCTGTTAACAGAAACCTTTACCTTTTTTTAGTGTTTCTATTAACTAATTCATTCTCAACACTCATCTTCTCATACATTTATTAACGACACATTTAAGCACCGTGTTTTACTGTCCTCACTTTTTCTGCCAACATTTCCCTGCAGGACATTTGTCATAACTAACCCGTTTTTCTGTCTCTGTCTGCAGGGGATCATATTTGTTATCCAAGAGGCAAAGCTGCTCATCTCTGTCTTCCAAAGCGTATCTCCACATAGATCCTCCTCGTCACAACTCATCCTTGCTCACTCTCAGGCACTCCCGCTATGGTTACCCACACTGTTACCGAGGCCATGCCCTCGGCCGTAACCACAACTCCGCCCTGCTCGCCGCTCTCTACACAGCTCAGGTGCTTGGCTCCAGGACATAAAGCAGGAGGACACTAAAGCCTCGCCAGCCGCCACACAGGATGCTTCTAAAAAGGACTCTGTTGTTGTTGCTGCTGCTGCAGCAGCTCAGCCCCAACCTCCAGCAGCTCCCACTCCAACGTCTAGCACCACCTCCACCAACACAGCAGCCGCCGTCCCTCCAGTGCAGGAGAGGGCAGTCGTAAAAAAGCCTCTTCATCACAGAATTGTGGATGAGTTAAAGCATTACTACAATGGCTTTCGGTTACTTGGTATTGACATCAAGATTGCAGGCAGGATGGTGTGGAGGCTGCTGCACGGACAACTTCTCACACGCAGGGAAAGGAGACGGGTAGGAGAAGCTAAATATACATTATATGGATCAACTGTATTCAGTCTGTGCACTGTTTAAGGATTGATTTATCTTCAGCAGTAATCCCCTGTAGTGTCAGGCACAGGGATTTAGATGATTTATAGTCATTACATTATTGTAAAACCTAAACAAGGACCAAGCCTGCATGGCCTTGGGAGACACCAAAATCAAAACTGCAGTGGTGTAAGATGTCAGACGAGAACACAAGTTCTTGTGTATATCAATGCATTTCAAAAGGGATCTCTTTTGCCCCTTTCTTTTAACCCCAGCTCATCAGAAATTAGATATTTAACTCACACACAACTCTAATTGTTCATTTATTGACCATAAAGTATTTTACTTGAGTGAAATCATGAAATGTTTACATTTGTAAGTTGAAAGTTTGAGGCTGATGACTAAATGTCAAATTGGGTTTGAGAGTTTGTGGGTTTGTGCGTTTTCCAGAAGTTTGGATTTTAAATTAATTTTATATCTGAATCGATGACAAAATATGTACAAGTTGCAGGTAGAGCAAAAATTACATTTTAACATATTTTCTCGACAATCATGATGTTTTATATAGTTATGTCTAAACATGCAGCCACAAGAAGAAACTTTAACCGGACTGTGGCTTTCATTCACTAAAAACCACTGAATTGACTTTGCTTTAAAACCCACATTAAAAACAAAGCCTTTATGCTTAAGAGAAAACATGAAAATAGTATAGTTTATGGCTAGACTGCCTGAAAGTAAATGTCCTCAAAGAGCTCTCCAGCTTTGGTTAATTCTGCGTCACTACTACTGAGGTTTTTCATGAGATATGATCGTTCAGTAATGTACCAAATATCAGACAACTGTCTTTCCTCACACACATGAATTAAAATTATTTTATTGATCTTGTATTACCCTACGGTCACAGTAGGGTGTCTGTCTGGTTTTTTAACAGTGTCTGGTTTCCTGTTTCTCCTGACAAAACCCCTATTTTTTTAGATGTTATCGTCCTGGTTCTTTTCCTCTCTGTGGTTATCAGTAAATCAGCCGGACATCATTTTTGGCTTAAAGTTCCCATGAAATGATAAACACATTCTTTGGGTATAAATTCCCACATTAAAAGGAATTAAAGTTTGGCTTCACAGGGACTTTAATTGTTCCCTTTGTATGTTCACACCTTAACCTGTCAATCAGGAATGTGTACAGTGTGTTCCCTGTCATAATATAACCATGTGACAGCATGCTATGCAGCTGTGTGCTGCAGGAGAGAGACGTGCATCAATTATGTCCATTTATTATTCACTTTATAGAAACGTGATCTCTAAAATCACTCCAGATTTTTTAACCAGAACACTGAATGAATACTACCTAGTTGCAGCATTTATACATTCAGGATTAGTTTATTAGTTTATTGAGCAGCTGCCATGCACAAAACAACTGTTGGGTCAGAGTTAGCTATAAAGCTAATTTACGGCTGGACCCTGGACATCTGTGTCACTTTATTATCTGCTATGTTTTTCTCGTTTGATACAAGTTTGTTTATTATTGTACCAAGAGCAAATCGTCAAGAATCAACAATGAAAGTAATTCAGCTTTTTGCTCCAGTCACTTTCACTTTGTGTTTCTCCTAAGCCCAAGCTTAGCGTAGTGTACAAGCTGCCCTCGATTTAAAGACCTTTAAAATCAATAGGATTAAA